ATGTAGATATAGATAATATAATAATAATGATACTAAACGCACAACTGCGCTTATCTAGTGATAGTCACTGCGTCACTAAGGTCCCTTAAAGTGAAATATAGAACCTGATATATTAGATGTCCCAAAATGCGCAAGCATCATGAGTTCAAATAATATAATTTAATTATTCTGCCAACTCCTAATTGTAAACTCATAAATAAGACAGGCATATTCGCAAGAATATTATTTTTAAATATTAATTTTAAAATTAATTTTTTTGCATATATTCGACAGTTAATTTTTTATTATATGGATGCTCAAATGTATTTTTTTAATACATTGATTTTCACTACTTTGGCCGTTATAAAATAAATATATTTTGTAAAAGTGTGATAAATCTCACAGGACAGAAAAATGTGTTGTTGTTGCGTGTTGGCCACCCCTGGTCTAGCTGGTTACAAGTTGCAACTCATTTTCTATTACACCTCCTTCAATTTACATCTGTATAGTATTTTAGTAATTGGGCATAAAAGCCTTCAGGCCCAAGTGTGTCTTATACCATGTCCCTTATACCATTGACTTACCTTGATATTCTGATTCACATATATTGAGTTCGTTTCCAAACACTTTGACGCTGTTCACCGTCCTGTAGGACAGAGATGGAGTCTTGTCATCATCGTGAGTGAGGAAGGCTGAATTGGTCAGCGATTCGAGAACGGAGAGGAATCCTTCTTGAATATTATGCTGGCAACCAAACAGAGCTACCCTGAAGCAATTGGAGACTGGCTGCAACGTTCTGGAAAGAGGCATTAGACGCAATTAATAAATAAGTAAATACAAATTAAATAATTATCGAGTGCTTTCTGCCTACTCATCAACAGGTTAGAATGTGTGTGAATGTGTTAGAAGGAAAATTGAATTTCCATTCATTAAAGTCGAATTTCCATTCATCAATCGAAAAATAATTTCCATTCATTGAAGAAAGGAAATTCCATTCCTCATTCTTAAAGAAATAATTTCCATTCATTGAAGGAAGAAAATTCCATTCCTCATTGATCAAAAAATAAATTCTATTCAATGAAGGAAGGAAATTCCATTCCACAATCATAAAATAATTTCCATTCATTGAAGGAAAAGAATACCAAGTTTGGCAACCAAACAGCGCTACCCTGAAGCAATTGGAGATTGGCTGCAACATTCCGAAAAGAAGCATTAGGCGTAATTATTAAATAAATAAATATAAATTAAATAATTATCGTAGAAACTTTGATTGCTTTCTGCCTACTCATCAACAGGTTAGAATGGGTTAAGGGGAGAAAGAGGGAAAATTGAATTTTTCATTAAAGCGGTATTTCCATTCATTCCATTCATCGAAAAATCTCCATTCATTAAAAGAAAGGATTTTCCTTCATTGAAGGGAAAATATAAAAAGTTTGGCAATCGAACAGAGCTACCATGAATCAATTGGAGATTGGCTCCAACGTTCTGAAAAGATATTACTAAATAAGTAAATACAAATTAAATAATTATCGAAGAAACTTTGCCTTCTGCCTACTCATCAACAGGTTAAAATGTGTTGAGAAGGAGTGAAAATTGAATTTCCATTCATTAAAGTGGAATTTCCATTCATTCCATTCATCGAAAAAGTTACATTCATTGAAAGAAGGAATTTTCATTCATTGAAGGGAAAGAATACCAAGTTTAGAACTCGTGCAATAAACAGAAATCGCAGTTATAGAAATCACATATTGCTTGATGAATATGATGAAAAAAATACATGAAACGAAACAAACATCAGAAATATTTTATGTCTAGCGCTTTAGTTGAAAATGAGGCGCAATTTTCATTTATTAATGATATGTCTATTTGCACATAATTTAATTTCTACTGACAAGTCTACATCTATCCGTGTTAAAATGAAGACATTCAAATTAACCCCCCCCCAAAAAAAAACTGATAAATAATATTTTTAATTTTACATACGTTGTCATGGCATTAAATTAAAATCAGATGATTAATTATAAAAATATTTTCAAAAAAATATGTTGTTAAATTAAATTTAATCAGTTGCAAACAAAATAGTGAAGGTCAATTTTCAAGATAAATCTCAACGCCTTTTGATGACTGAACTGTGTTTCATGCCATCCTTGCAATTAATTGCCCATTTGTGAAACATAAGAATAAGCGTAATTTTTAAAATTTTGGTTTCAAAATAATAAGAAATGTCTACATTTTACGCTTATTGCATCATTTTTTATCTATGTCTATTTTATTATTCAGTGGATGGCCAGTAATGAGTAGAGTGTGGGAAAAATAATATAAAAATTTAAAAATTAAAAAAATTACAAATATAAATAATAAGGTATGATGCTAAATAACAAACATACAGGAAATTAAAAGTATATACAATACATAAAAATGATAAATAATGGTTCTAAACATGAAATGACTTTATAGTACAAGTTATACAAATATAATTTCTGTCTATGGAGTTTTAAGTAATAAAATATTGTTATTTAAATTAGAGGAATGAGCGCAGAAACTTCAGTTAACATTTCATACTTCACTTGTTGACTACATTGGATATTTTGCGTATTTAATCGCTAATAGAATTAATAAACACTGTAATATATCATTGAAATTTCGAACTTTAGTCATCGTCTGTTTTCAGTTCTTCTGAATACTACAGGACAATGCGCACGATTATATGTTCGTTCATACGTTCATCGTTCAATATACATCATTTTGTTAATATAAATCACCAAATTTTCGCAACTTCAATTGTTCATCTATTTGCTAGATTTCTCATTCATCCAACATTCATGGGGGAGGATCACTCAACTATTGTGACAACACAGACAAACAGTGGATTAACCAGAAAAACCTCGGCAATATGGTGGAGATAACATGGGTTTGGTATAATTAAAAAAAGAATACCTGCCAAAACCATTTTCGTTCAATGTCACATGTTTAGCACGAATTATTTCAGCCCGTGTAAGCCACACGAAACATTTTTTTTTCTCAAACAATGCTTTACTTGTATCCTTATGCTCTTATAGTGCTTTATTTTTAGCCTTAGTATACCCTAACAGTACTTCATTTTTCAATAGGTTTGCTTCATTTTTATCCTTATGCCCTAACAATGATTTATTTTTCAACAGTGATGCTTCCAACAATGCTTTATTTTTAACAGCGTTAC